ACATTTTCAAGAACGTGCGAATGCCAAGTGCATTAAAAATAGATGAGTAACCTAGGTTCGTTTTTAGCTCATCTGACGAAGTCAGGACCTCTCAAGAGGAGGGTTAAACATGGATTCCTGAACTGCCTCAATGATGTCACAGTGTTCTCATATTCATGGCACATCCATAATCTGGAAAGCCAATAAGCCTGGATAGCCGAACGGCTACAGCACAGGATTACGGCAAGTTTATGATGTGAATAGTGTTATAGTGTGCATATTTATAATGTAAATATTATATGTTTGCAGGTATACTGACAATTGCGCCAAGTTAACCCATATGTTTGCAAGAAGAGGAGTAACCTTTCCGCAGATATTTCTTGTGATGCTACTTGGCATTCCATCAGGAATATACATTTGGCGACCGGTGCTGGAAGGGATGAAGGCAGAGAAGCTTGCGAGGAAGCAGGCAGATGCGACCGGTGAAGAACGAAAGAACTAGTGAGCATGAAGAAGCCGTGTTATCCTGGGTGAAGATACACGAAAACATTCGTTCACGTTGTCCGTGAGTAGTAGACAACAACTCTGGAGAGTCAGCAATACATCCAGTCGACTTATTCAGACTCATAGGCGTTTTATTATTATAAAATATGGCAAATAAACTGATGAGACCAGCTATGATTGTGGTTGTTTCAGCAGGCACAGCCATATTGCTGACCTGGTATGGGAAAGTGATTCCCGCCATGAAAGCACGCAAATACAATAATATCGAACAAGAGATGCAATCTTACAGAAGCAAGTCTAAAGAGCTTTCTAGCCAAGATAAATGCAGTGAAGACCAGGCTATCAAGAACACATGAAATACAGCATGTGTAGGTTAATAAGTACTCAAGTTACAAAATTCTGGCTTTTTAATTAAATTATTTTTCCAGAATATATAACTTGACATTAAAACTATGGTCATGGATCATGTTAAAAGATAACGTGTGTTTCCTGTTTAAATAGCATAAAAGTTAAAGTAGATAAGATGGTGAAAACTTTAGTGTGATGACTTTTTATTGATTAATTATCATTTACCAATTGATTCGCCTCAGCTGTTCCAAGAGAAAGACCAATTAAAATGTTGTTAGAACACCTGATTGAAACAGATAGTGTTCTGAAAATTTTTGTGGGAGTATTTAAAAAAAATGCTTGGGTCACTTCGCAATTTGTTGGTAGGTTGAATAAGAGAAAGTCTTTTCTTGTTTTGTTTTACATGACTTGCTTTGTAGAATAAATATGTTGTAAAATTTGCCCATAAAACTTTTACATGAAGTATTAATTCCAATGGTAATTTTTACGTTCTTCATGTAAGCTACAATGTAAATATAAATGCATCCATTGCATGTTTGTAACTGCAAAGTACTACTTAAAGATAACACTTTGCCATGTTTGAACAGCATATTTAGTTTAATTCCTACAGTTTCCTCTTGGTGGATTCTCATTAATTATCATTTTAAAATATTAATGAGAAAGTCCGTCTCTCTGCCTCTCTCTCCATGCTCTTCCTTCTCTCTTCCCCTCTCGCCATTCTTTTCCGTCTCTCTGCCTCTCTCTCCATGCTCTTCCTTCTCTCTTCCCCTCTCGCCATTCTCTCTCCATGCTCTTCCTTCTCTCTTCCCCTCTCGCCATTCTCTCCCTTCTCTCTCCATGCTCTTCCTTTTCTCCCTCCCTCTCTCCATCATTCTCTTCTTTCCTACATTTTCCCCATTCTTATACTTCGCTCTTCCCGTTCCCCATTCTCTTCCTTCTCTCCTCTCTCTCCATTCTCTTCCTTCTCTCCTCTCCTCTCCCCATTCTCTTCCTCCTCTCCTCTCCTCTCCCCATTCTCTTNCTCTTCCTTCTCTCCTCTCCCTCCCATTTCTTCCTTCTCTCCTCTCCTCTCCCATTCTCTTCCTTCTCTCCTCTCCTCTCCCCATTCTCTTCCTTCTCTCCTCTCCTCTCCCCATTCTCTTCCTTCTCTCCTCTCCTCTCCCCATTCTCTTCCTTCTCTCCTCTCCTCTCAATGGGTCTCCCCATTCTCTTCCTTCTCTCCTATCTTTTCCCCATTCTCTTCCTTCTCTCCTCTCCTCTCCCCATTCTCTTCCTTCTCTCCTCTCCTCTGAGAGAAGGAAGAGAATGGGGAATGGGGAGAGGAGAGGAGAGAAGGAAGAGAATGGGGAGAGGAGAGGAAGAGAGGAGAGGAGAGGAGAGAGAATGGGGACAGGAGAGGAGAGGAGGAAGAGAATGGGGAGGAGAGGAGAGAAGGAATC